ATATATATATGTATATATATATATATATATGTATATATATATATATATATATATATATATATATGTATATGTTGTTTTGTGTTGGCTATTGAAATTACTTTGGCAGTGGGATTGCCTCGCTGTACAAGTTGCAGCGAGTGTTTATAAAAGACCTCAGCGCAGTTTCTTTCTTTTCTCTTCTCTCTCTTTCTTTCTCTGTCTCTCTGTCTCTCTCTGTCTCTCTTTTTTAGCTTGAGGTCTCTGTGCTGCTGCGCTGCAGCCAGAGCCAGAGACAGAGACAGAGACAGAGACAGAGACAGAGAGAGAAAGAGAGAAAGAAAGAAGAAGATATCACCTGCTACTTGGCTTAAGTTTTTCGCTGTATTACAATACCAGGCAACGCCAAGCCCCGGTATCTTCTTATATAGAGAATATAAATTATATATATATATATATATATATATATATATATATATAATATAGTATAGCAGAATATATAAAATAAAATAATATAGTATAGTACTCATACACCACCGGCTGTCTATACAGCTGAAAATATATTCACTGACACGAACAAACAAACAGAAAAACTTTCAGTATGCTGGATGTTTATATACAAAAGAAGCAGTTTATTGTTTATATATTTTTACAAAAAGGTAAAGAGGGAATACAGAGGATACTGAAAGCCAAAGAAATTATTGAATTTGTTGTGAGGCGCTACAGTATACCTAAGCTGTAGTAACTTGGCAACAGCAGCAGCAGCGGCAACAGCAGCAGCAGCAGCTGCTGCTGCCTCATATCCTCTTGCGTTACTCAAGCGACGCCCGCGGGGCTCGCTGTGTCTTGCTGCGCTGTAACAACTTGCATGCAGCCGCATGCAGCAGCGTGTGTTTGTTGATTTCTGCTCCATCAACTGCTGGTGCCCTGTGGTTATACTGGTTAGGGTTTAGGGTTTAGGGTTTAGGGTTTAGGCGTTGCATTGATGATGGGGTCTAGACAGCTGCATCAGTGCTCCTGCCCGCGTATAGCGACCCCCACCCACCAGCAACAGCAGCAGCAGCAGCAACAGCAGCAGCAGCAGCAGCAGCAGCATCACCCTTCTAATACCTACACCGTTGACTACAACAGCTACCCTGCGCTACCCGCACCGACGGAGTAGAGGGCCACCAGCGGGCCCCTGAAGGGGGGCCCCTGCATGGGGGCCCCTGAATGGGGGCCCCTGAAGGGGGGCCCCTGAAGGGGGGCCCCTGAACGGGGCCCCCCGAATGGGGGCCCCCCAAGAGTACCCTGACGGCCTCACGCTGGCCCTGTATTTGTGTATGAGTGCTAGCAGACAGTCCTGTGGGGCCCTCTAGTGAGATACACCCGTAGCGAAGTATATATATGCTGGTTAGCTGGCTAGCTAGAGCTATATGGGTAGCTAGCTAGCCATTTACGCAGGTTGTCTATTAGGTGGAACCTACAGGGACCTGTTGTCTGTAAA